ACATTTAAAAAATAAAAATAAATACTTTTTTTTTTTTTTTTTAGAAACGAGGTCTCGTTTTGTTGCGCAGGCTGGTCTTGAACTCCTGGCCTCAAGGGATCCTTCCTCCTCAGCCTCCCAAGTAGCTGGGACTACAGGTGCCACCTAATTAGGTACACCTGCCTAATTTTTTATTTTTATTTTTTAGAGACAAGGTTTCACCGTGTTGCCTGGGCTGGTCTCAAACTCCTGGCCTCAAGTGATCCTCTTGCCTTGGCCTCCAAAAGCGCTGAGATTCGAGACATGAACCATTGCGCCCAGCTGAAAACACTTTTAACTGCGGAAAAGTACACACACTGTGAAATGTGCCATCTTGACTGTCTTTCACTCCATAGTTTGATCGTGTTAAATCTGACAGGGTTGTGCAACCACCACCCCTGCCGGTCTCCAGAAGTCCTTTCATCTTGTGCCACTGAAAACTCTATGCCCATCAGACAAGGATCCCCTTCCCCCTCCCTCGGCCCCTGGCAATCTCTGTCTGGCCTTCAGCCTCTGAAGTTAACTACCCCTAGGGACCTTATAGGGCGGAATATACAGCATTTGTGGGACTGTGTGGGTGAGTGGAATTACATGGCATTTGCCCTCGCATGGCTGGCTGACTTCACTTAGCTTAACGGCCTCAAGGTTCCATCACGCCGTAGCATGCATCAGAATCTTCTTTCTTTTATTAAAAAAAATTTTTTTTTTTTTTTGAGTTGGAGTGTCACTCTGTCACCTAGACTGGAGTGCAGTGGCCGCTCCCGGCCACCGCAACCTCGACCTGCTGGGCTCCGGCGATCCTTCCGCCTCAGCCTTCCAAGTAGCCGGAATTACAGGCATGCGCTACCACGCCCGGCTGAATTTTTTTTTTTTTAAGTCGGAGTCTCACTCTGTTGCCCAGGCTGGAGGGCAGGACACACTCATGGCCACCGCAGCCTCAACCTGCTGGACTCTAGTGATCCTCCTGCCTCAGCCTTCCAAGGAGCTGGAACCACAGGCGCCTGCCACCATGCTCAGCGAATTTTGTGATTTACTGTAGAGATGAGGTCTTGTCAAGTTGCCTGGGCTGGTCTCGAACCTGTGAGCTCAGACAATCCTCTCAGCTTGGCTTCCCAGAGTGCTGGGATGACAGGTGTGAGCCACTGCAACTATCTTAATAGCCTTTTTGTTTTTGAGTCAGAGTCTTGCTCCCAGGCTGGAGTGCAGGGACATGCTCATGGCCACTGCAGCCTCGATCTGCTAGGCTCTGGCGATCCTTCCGCCTCAGCCTTCCAATAGCTGGAACTACAGATGCAGGCCCCCATGCCCGGCTAGTTTTGGTGATTCATGTTGGAGACGAGGTCTTACCAAGTTGCCCAGGTTGGTCTCGTACCCCTGGGCTCAGGCAATCCTGTAGCCTCGGACTCCTAAAGCGTTGGGATGACGGGTGGGAGTCATTGCGCCGGGCTAACGCTGTTTTTTCAAATACACAGGTTAGCCGGGCTCAGTGGCTTAGCCTGTAATCCCGCGCCTTTGGGCGGCTGAGGTGAGTGGATTGCCTGAGCCCGCGGGTTAGAGACCTGTCTGGGGCAGGCGAGACCTCATCTCTACAATAAAATAAAAAAATTAGCCGGGCGTGGTAGCACGCGCCTGTAATTCCAGCTACCCAGAAGGCTGAGGAGGAAGGATCGCTGGAGCCCAGCAGGTCAAGGCTCCGGTGGCCAAGAGCGGCCTCTGCACTCCAGTCTGGGTGACAGAGTGAGACTCCAACTCAAAAAAAAAATACACAGGTTTCCCAGCCTAGAGCTCACACTGCCCCAAACTAATTTTGTCGCTGTTGCAACCACCCTTCTCTCTGCTCGGAGATCTGGTTAAACATTTCCCTTTGTGGTGAATCTGAAGGTGGGACACAGACGAATCTTGCTGTTGACGTGCGCATTTAGCACAGTATTGCCTGTTACCCCCCAGAAAGATGTTCCTGAATCAGCAACGCCCGTCTTGCACTTCACGTCACCTGAGACCTGAGGACACGCACGGCCACAGCAGTAGACACAAGACGGCTCATAAGTTCATAAGTACTGTGTTAAGTACTGTTTTTTAAGTACTCCCATTTCTTCTGAGAGCTGTGAGCCCAGTATTGAACCAGGCAGCTTTCAGTCACATCACCCCATGCAGAGGAGAGATTGAGGCGGAGAGAGGTGTCACTCTACAAGTGAATTTCAGCTTCCATCTTTCTCCCAATATGACGATCATAAGAGGATGATATGCCGGGCAGGGTGGTGCACGCCTGTCGTTCTGCTCCTTGGGAGGCGGAGGCAGGAGGATCGCCTGAGCCCAGGAGGTCGAGGCTGCGGTGAGCCGTGAGTGTGCCCTGGACTCCAGTCCGGGTGACAGAGGGGGACCCTGACTCCGTAAATAAATAGAGATGATTACAGACGATGATAAATCATCTGCGAGGTGGGCGAGATCCGGCAAGAGCTGGTGAAGCACGGGACAGGCGAGGGAGCCGCGGGGTGGACAGTCATTGTCCAACACCAATGTCTGCGGGAATACGCCGCTGGCCGCCAACATCCGGCCAGGAGGCTCGCTGTATGCACCCGGCACGGGGAAGAAGTGGGATTTGGGGCTGTGGCCCATCTCCTGGGAGGCGGAGTGCACGGTCACAGCCGAACATACCCACTGGAGCCCCACTCCATGGGTTCGAGCCCGGGCCCGGCCGCTGATGGTGAGTGACTCTCCGTAAGTGACTCGACCCTTGACCCATCCCCAGGCAGGCGGTGTGCACAGTCGCGGCCAGACACGTGCCCTGGAGCCCCACTTCGCGGGTTCAAGCCTGGGTCCCGTCGATCGCGGTGTGAGACTCTCCGTTACTCCACCCTTGGCCACAGTCACGCCAGACACGCCCTAGTGCTAGACTCCCTGGCTTCAAGCCCGGGTCCCGCTGCTCCCAGAGCGCGACTTTCCGTGAGTGACTCGAGCCTTGACCCATCACCCGGCAGGCGATGAGCACAGTCGCGGCCAGACACACGCCCTGGAGCCCGACCCCGCGGGTTCGAGCCCGGGTCTTGCCGCTCGTGGTGCGTGACGCTCCCTGCGTGACTCGAGCCGGGTCGTCCGCACAATGGGACCAGGACCGCCTCCCCCAGGCCCGAGGCATCGTTAGGACTTAGCGATGCGCTCCGCCACTTTAGAGAGGGGGAAACTGAGGCCGTGGGAGCGGCAGTGGGGGCAGACCGGCCCGGGGGCGCCCGGAGCGCGGCACTCGCTGTCCAGTCACTAAGACCCCGGGCGAGCGGACGCTTGCCCCGGGAGGAGCCGGCAGGGAAGGGGTTACAACGATAGAGACGACGGGAGGACCGGGGGCGGCGCGAGCGTCCCTCCCGCCCCTGTCCCGCTCCCCAAGGCGGACGCGGGGCACCGACCGCGCAGGCGCGGGGAGCCCAGCCCCGGGGGTGGGTGTCGGCGCCGCCCTGACACCGGAAGTCTCCGCCTAACGGGCCGAGCCCGCGTCTCCTGTCCTGGAAGGGGGCGGGGCCGAAGACCCTCGGGAGCGGCGCCATAGAGCCGGACGGAGGACCGCGTCCTAGATGCGTCCGGAAGTGGCACCATCGAGCCGGGGGGCGGCGGCCCGGGTCGCCCGCTCGCCGTCCTAGAGCGGCGGGACAGGGTGGCGGCCCGCAGGGGAGGTTGCGGAGGGGAGGGGGAGGCGCGGGCGGAAGCGGCCGGGAAGGTCACTTCCGGCCTGGGCGCCCGTCCCCCTGACCCCAGGGTCTGAGTCGCCGCTGCCGCCGCGGCCACCATCCGCGAGGCAGGAGAGCGGAGGAGGAGTGCGGC